TTAGAATAAAAACTTTAATAAACATTTTCTTTAATTAATTGAAAGTATTTTGATAAACAATATTTTATAAAAACAAAATATTCTTTTTAATTAGGTTTATTATTGAATTAATTATCTTCAAGAAATCCTTAATAAATTGTTAATAAAAATTTATAAATTCAATAAATACTTATATATCGATTATAATATCAGATAATTTCTAGTTTATAATAATCCTTATTTTTTCTGAATTTATTTAGATATTATTTTTCTCTATAATTAGGTTAAAAAAGATTGTTTCAAATTTCAGAAATTTATATTTTTTAAACTTTATAAATAGACCGATTTCTTTTAGTGCTTATAGAACTTTTTGAATATAACGAATATATTTCTTTTAGGTATAATTATGTATCAATATATTGTTTAGGTATATAGTATAGAATATATCTAGGTATTTATATAGGGAGTTGTTAATAAATTTTTGGAATGTAGTAGATGCTTTTATTAGCTTAAATGATATAACCAGAAACTTGAATAAATCGAATTGGATATGGAATATGATTAGATATTTTTATTCTTTCTTGATTTTTATATTATTGAAAATAAAAATAATATCGATTTTATTAAAATATTTTATTTTTTTCAAGTTGTTTAGGGATTCTTTAGTTAATAATAGTAGGTATTGATTTTTTATGGATAGATTATTTAGGGTTTTGTAGTTAATATAGAAATAGAGATTTTTATTAGCTTTTTTGATGAATAGGATAGGGGATGTGGTAGGCGAGGAGTTGAGATGAATGAATCCTTTTTTCAGATTCTTTTTTAGTTATTTTTTTAGGGCTTCAAGTTTGATCTGGGATATGGTATATAGGGTTTTAAAGAATAATATAATTCCTTTTTGGAGTCGGATTTTATAATTATATAATTGGTGTAATAGTAGTTTGTTAATATTTTATAAGGAAAATATATTTTTCTAGTTTCGGAATTCAAATAGGAGATTATTTGGATTGAATTCTTTTTTTTTATTTAGAATATTTTCAATTTGTTTAATAAAAATCTGGAATATTTTACATTTCTAATAAATGTATACAAAATAGGTTTTTAGAAAGATTATAATTATATCTTAATTCTTAAGATTTTCAGAGTAATCGAGTAGGTATATAGATTGGGCTTTTGAGGGAATATTAGATAAAGCTTTTATTCGAAATAGATAGGATAGAGTATTATAGAATTTATAACAGTATAGATTATCAAATTGAAATAAGTTTATTATAAAATTGATATAGAGATTATATTTTTTAAGTTAAACTATATTCAATATTATAGGGTAATAGGTTAATTTAGTTATATATAAAGTGATTTTTTTTTTAATATAATTATTAATTTTAAATTCAATGTAAATATAGAATATAACCCAGTTTTTAAATAGAATTTTATTATTGAATTTAATAACTTTGAAGGTAGCGGATAGTTTATATTCAAGAATCTTTTAAAATAATATTTAGTTTTAATTAATAAAGATAGTTTCTTTACAATTATTATTTATTATAATATAAATTAAAAAAGTATTTCTTTTTAAAAACAAAATAATAAATAGAATTATTAAATTTATATAATTATTCAATTTATTTTTCAAGAGCAATTTTTGGGTAATAGTAATAGACAAATAAAGTTTATATAAAAAATTATTTTGATAGTAATTTAAATTAGACAAATCCTATTTTCTAATCTAAATAAGTTAGTTGGAAAATGGGGCGGTAATTGTAGTAAGGAGTGAGGTAAGGATCAAACGGATATTCTGCTTTTTGGTAGGTTTTTCAAAGTGGGGTTATATCTGAAGGGATTGGAAATCTCAATTCTAAGTTGAATAGAATGAGTATCAGAATGTGGGCAATCACGAATTAAGTGACTGGTAAAGCTATAATGGTAACATTCTTCTTATTCCTTTTGGGATAGATTATTATTAATAGTATAATATTAAGAGTTGAGGTTTATAGAATTTTCTCCCTAAATAAATAGAAAAATAATCTTATTTATATAGGAAAATTGGATTACAGGATTACAGGTAAATTCGAATAACAAAATAAAAGTCTTTTTTTTAACAGAAATAAAAACGATAGAATGATTTCAAGAAATTTGTTATTAGTATTAACAGAATTAATTATCGAATTGTTATAAATAAATAGAGTATTTCTAAAAATTATAGAATGAGAGTAGATTGTAAGTAATATATTTTATAATTCTTAGAAGATTTTTTGAAATAATAGTGAAATTAGAGTGTTATTAGGTATTTTGTTTTTTAAAACTAATTTTTAGAATTAATAAAATAAATATTGAAATCGAAATGTCTTTACTTAAATAGATATAATTGGTTTTGAATATTCTGTTTGTAATCTGAATTTCTAAAAACATTTTTTAAATATTTCAAAAACAAATTATAATTGGTGAACTATAGGATACCGTAAATAATCTTAAAAAGGATTAGTTTATAAGCTTTTTCAATAAATCTTCTAGTAGTATAAATTAGATAAGTAATAGCAATAAAGAAATGATTAAAGTTCGAGTTTATTTTTGTATATATTTATTAAACGAATCTTTACAGATCAGATTAGAAATTATTAAATTCTTTGGGATTAGGGATACATTTATTAAATAGATAGTAGTGGATAGAAAGGGTATAATAATATTAAATAATTTAAGAATAGATTTAATAGATATTATTTCAAAAAATATAATAAAAACAGATACAGATTTAGCGAGGTAATCAAGTAAATAGATATTCTATACAGCAATTTGTTTATATAGGAAGATTTCAATATATCTTTCAATAAATACTTTTCGAATTTTGTATTTGAAAAACAAATTAGCTTTTTCTAATTTGATAGTATATACGGCTACCGATTGGAAGTATTAATACTAAGCTTGGGGATTCTCTGTTACAGCTATACTGAATTTAAAGGTATCCTTTGAATAATTAAATGGGTACGGAGTTAGTATTACTATTACGATGATATTGGTAGAAGTTATATAGTATCACAGGGTAGGTAGACGGGATCAGGAATTTATATTTGATAGTATTAAGAATAGTAGATATAGAATATAGACTAAAATGTAGTTTAAAGAATTATAATATAGAATCTTCTAATGTGAAGATATATAGAGTTTTCATTTATAAGCTAGCTCAATAGGGCCTAGCTTATTACTTATCGGTCACGTGTATCCACACCGTGATAATACTGATAATTCAAGAAAGGTTTATATTAGAACTTGTTTATAAGATTTTGGAATAATTTATTGAATTATTTTATATTAACATTATCGAGATAAAGTTTAAAATTTCAAAAAATATTGAAATTCAAGTTTTATAAAAGTTTTGAAAAATATATATAATTTTTTAAAAGATAAAAGTAATTGAAAAATTGTTTTTAAAATATCGCTATATATTTTAATAAAATTTAATAATTGAAAATAATTATTTGAATTTTATTTATAAATTGAAATATTCATATAATAGAAAGTATATAACATAATGATAATAAAATTATATAATAATAAAGTTTTAATTAGAAATAATATCTAATTTGATTAAAAATTAATAAAGAGAAAAAATAATATAAATAAAATATATTCATTAAGTATTTGAATAAGATAGTTTAATATAGTTTTTCAAAAAATTTAAAAATACTTTTCCAATTTTTAAAAGAATTTATTATTAAAAAAAATCTTCAAACTCTATAATATTTCTAGTAATTTTGAATATTAAATTCGATTATAAACTGATATCATAAGTTATTTTATTGAATGTTAATATAAATAATGATTATATATCTAGAAAATTATATCAAAGAATAAAAAATTCAAAAATATCATTTAAATATTATATTATCTTATATTTTATTTATTAGTATTTTCCTTATAAATAATTATATATATAATTATAATACAAAAAATAACTATTTATACTTTTTAATCAAAGTTATTATATTAATATCAAAACATAATTAAAATCTTCTAAAAATATTATAAAATTATTGATTTATAATTGATTTCTATTATGAAAAAGATTAATTCAAAAAATTCGAATTATATATTGGTATAATTTCGAATTTTTAATAAAAAAAACTACTTTTCTTAATTACATATATTAGAATATATTAGAATTTATATTTTTTAAAGAAATAAATATTCTTTTTTATTTGTAATATTAAATAAATCGATATAAAGAATTTTATGTAATGATTTTTAAAATTAAGATTTAGATTTATATATTAATATATTTGATATTTTAATTGATTGATAGTAGAGAGTATATATTATTCTATTTATTTTATAAATTTTGAAAGAATTTAATGATTGGTTGATTATAAATTGAATTTAGAATATTGATGTGAAAAGAAATAAAAGTGTACAAGATATAGGGTTGTATAAGATGTAGGGATATCGGTTATGTGCACGTACGTTCATATGCATGTAACAAAGTAATCAATTCTCCTTTCATCTATTCTCCTTCTATTCTCCTTCTATTCTCCTTTTATTAATTATTTTCTAATTATTCTACCCTTCCACTCCCCTACCCTTTCAATCCCCTACCCTTCCAATCCTCTATCCTCTATCTTCCCAAACACAAAATCCATCAGCACAGAATACTACCTATTCATTACCTAGGTAGTCACCAATCACCAATCCCATCAATATCTCTATTCCCAAAACATAAAAGTCCCTTTCAATTTTCAATTTCCAATTTCATTCATATCCAGTGAGACAACAAACCAATGACTCAACAAACCAGTAATCCATCCATCCCGTAACCTAAGAGTCACAATGTCCCCCTCCCTTTCCCCCATTTCCTTCCTCCCCACCATCTCAACCCCACCTTCCCACCCCATTCCAAACGCACTCCGACCAAAAAAACATACTCCCTTCCCAAATCCCAACCCATCATTATAGGTATCCATCTCATGACCTAAAACAAACTATCATACCCCCTTCCATCCTTCCACCCCTCCTAATCCTCCACCTCCTCAACCTTCAACCCCCCTCTCAACCCCCCTCTCACCCCCCAACAGCCTCTCCAACCCCTCCCAACTCAACCCACCATGACAATTTGTCCTCAAAACCAAATCCTTTCCATTCTCCATATGAATCACAATCGCAACACCCTTAACTCCACTCACCCCTTCTACTCTCTCCTCTCCCAAAGCTTCATCTGTATTTCTATTTCTCAATCCACAATCTATACTCTTGCTACCAAACCTCAAAACTCTCCTTTTCCAAACACAATCATGCTTCTCACCATCATCATCATCATCATCTCTACCCCCCCTCTCCCCCTCAAACTCCCCCTCCCCCTCCTCCTCCACAATCGACCCCATAACCCCCTTCAAACCATTCCCCCTCCCCCTCTCACTCCCACTCGACAACCACCTCATCTGCGCATCAAAATATCCCCCCGCACTAACCGGTGTTACCATGTCACTCGCCCCAGCACTACCACCACCACCACCGCCCCCACTATCCCTCACCCTCCTCACCACCCCCCTCCTACTCTCCGACCTCCTATCCTCCCACCTCCTCACCTTACTCCTCACCTCTTGCCGCTCAAACCTCTCCTTCCTCACCCTCCGCGAAATCGATTCCTCGCTCTCGCGTCTCCGATCCGCCCAATCCGCTTGTCCACAAATATCCGAGGTTTCGCAATCCGATGAACGTCGAGCGACTTTCTGCAGTGGAGATTTCAACACATGTTTCCAATCAAGATGTTTTGTGGGGAAATTAACCTCTTCTCTTTCTCGCCAAGGATTGGATGAAAAGTAGCCCGGAGAAGAGTTGGTAGGAAAACGAGGATTTGATCTTGCGGGTGCTGCAGATTTATCTCTCGTGCCATCACTTGAAGATGGCCTATTTGAGTTTACGATTGTTTTCGAGCAAGCATTTTCTGAGGCTTTCTTAAAAGTTTCCTTCATTAGCGGTGCTATATCTTTCAGAATAATCGATGATGAAGTCCAAGGGGAAGGAGTTCGAGCCATCAACAACGAATCCCTAGCTTGTTTAACAGCAAAAGACGAACTATTCTTCGGAAGATGAAGAGTTTTCGACGGCGTATTAGTCGGAGTATCAAATCTTCGAGGTGGCGAAGGCTCATCCGGACTCCCCAACCATTCCGAAACACTATCATATTTATGAACCGTGGAACGATCATAAGTCTGCGAGCGAGATAAGATATAGGGTTTCCGTTCCTGCGTTGAGCCGGGATGTCCATGATTCGAATTAAACGCATCATTTAGGGAAACCTTTGCTGGACTGCGATGAAGATGTATCATGGGTTTATGAACTCCATTTGTGCAACATCGAACACTGTGAATTGTGCTCTGGCACGCAGAACACTCACAATCATCAAGACAGTGTTGGCAATCCCCTAAGATACCCGAACTAACCGGACTGCGATCGCAATGCCCATGACCAGTCCTGGGATACCCACGACATTCTACATAATCCGATCCATATCTCGACGAACGTTTCCCATGTTTCGAATCATTGAGAAATGGATAATAGTTATCTAGGAGTTTCGACTTTTCCATATTATCCATTGTAAAACTGGGTTGTACAGGTTGATAGGTCGACCCATTGAACATACGACACGCGCTTTCTGACCCCTGTGTGTTTTCTGTGCGGTTTCTGCGGTTCACTCTATGGATAGATTGTGTAGTCCGAGGCATTGTATTATTCAAAAATGGATCTGGCCTCATCGACGTCCGTGGGATTTCCACATGGTCCGATTCATGGCTGAGTTGTATTGCTCGGTGTACTTGTCCATTCAATAATCGATACAATCTCATAGAGGGCTGTGAAGTTTTAGAGGAGTCAGGATAAGAATGCGAGCGATAGATGTTTTCATCATTGATACTATCAGCTGCATACCGACCATCCATAGCTATAATATCCTCACTTCGGGCAAGTGATTGAGAAGTAGAATGTTGGCAGACGAAACTCCTATGATTGGCTTGCTGGCAGCTTTCACATCTGCAGTCGTGCGTTTCCAACGATCCTGACTCAGATCTATGTTTGTTGGTGACATACTGACAGGAAGAATTTGGTGTGGAAAGTATGGAGCTTTCTTGAGAGGCTTCTTCAGATTGAGCTGAGAGATTTTGAGAGCGCTCGGATTTGTAAATACCAGGACACGATTGTGATGGTCCATAATTTGTTGAATCTAACCCAGGTCCAGGTTTCAAGCTTTCTGGTGGAGCTTTCTCAGAATAGAATGGCGGAAAAGGCTCCGTCGGAGCGACCTCCTTCTTGCTCATTTGTATTGGAATCGGCAGAGGTCTCGACAATGATTGCTTTAAAATTTGGCCTTTTGATGGCCGAGGTGTCGTTACATAGTGTACTGGTTTCGATGCTTCTTTCCGATCAACAGGAACCACTCGCTTGTAATCAAAACTTGCATCTTTGCCTCCATTTGAAAATGTCAGAAGTCTGTCACAAGCTTTGCATAATCGATGACCACATTTCCAACAGGTGTTTTCATTTTTATCATGAATCCACATGCAAAGATGACAGACGCGATGTCTCTGAGGTTCATTGGTTTCTTCCCTCCCCACTTCGGATGATGCGAGTCCAGGTGGTCTTTCAATACCATGTTTATCAAACAAATTTCGAACACTCTGCCGCCGAAGTGTAGACGTTGTACGCATGGAAACCTCAGAATTAGACATTTCATCTTGCCGCATCTTCTCCTTTTGACGACGAGGATTCAATGTCCGGTTCTGTCCATAACTTAATTGAGCAGTAGACGGTGCTTGCGTGGAGCCGTGATCGCCCCCCAAATTCTTAGCGCCCCTATCCAAATCTACCTCACGGCCATCAATCCTCTTCCCCAAATCCATCCTCGACATCTTCAAAGTATCAACAACCGGACCCCACCCCCCACCCATCACATCTTCCCTCAACAACCCCCTCAACGAAGAACCACCATCCCCACCCCCCTTCCCCTCTCTCGCAAACCCCACCTCACCATTCCCCCTCGGAACCCTCAACCCCAAAAACGAATGACTCGTCCCCGCCTGCAACTGTTCACTCGGCTGCGAATTTCTCGACGCCGGATTCCCAAAAAGATTCGTCGCGCGACGTCCAAAGCTCGAGCGAGAATTTTCGCGTCTGCTCTCCCACGTGGGTCGAATCCGCAGCGGGGAACGCGATCGCCGAGGTGAAGTAGTACTGCGCTCGCGTCTACTGTTCGACGCCGCTCGGGTGGGTGGGAAGCGGGAAGGAGGTTTCGGGGATGATTTATTTTTCGGGGGGCCCGCGAGCTTTTGAAGGGAGAGGATACGTGACGCGACGGTTCCCGCGGTGATGGGGAGATGGCGAGAGGGGGGTTGATCACGAGGGATGGCTGATTTGGAAGCCGCAGAATCGGCGTGTGGATTGAGAGCTGCAGCGGGCCGCCAGGGATAGTTCATGGCAAGGGAAGGTTTCTAGGATACATTGATTTCGGAACTAATGCTGAAATGTAAAGATGACTGTAACGAATGAATGCACAGGCAATGCGCCCGATGAGTGGTGTGAAGCAAGAAAGAGGATAACCCTAATAGGAAAATAAAGATGGAGGTACAAATGAACATGGAGATAAAGATCGAGTACTTAAATTGAAACTAACAAATCTCGTTGGGAGGAACACAACGGCCGAAAAGGCAAGAACAATCAACGTCATTTCATTAGCCATAGTCAGCATTTATGGCTATTCATCAAAATTTACATGTCCATTTTCCCATAATCATTGAACCCATCAAGATATAGCAAAAAATACAAATCAAAATTTAGTTGATGAGGGTATAAAATTGACCAGGCTTATCAATTGAACAAGCTATGGTATTCGTTTTCACACAACGCAATAAAAAATAGTTCACTGATGTACATTGTGCAGGTCTCTATCATCTAACCATCACCAAGGCAGAGTAATTTCTCTACTTGAGGTGTGCTTGCAAGGTCTCCAAAACCTAAATATATCATTAGTCCCAATCTCATATCCACATCCAAGATCTGAAGATCAAAAACTCACCTCCAACTCAATCTTAGCCTCAGCGATATCTTGCTCACTTCCACTTCCTCCAACAATCTTCTGAGCCTCAGCAATTTGTGACCTAACTGCATCTGCGCTGAAATCCTCCAATGGGAATCCCTCGACTGCGTTGATGCTTAATGAAGAGTTTGGTTGAACGACTGCGAATCCTCCGGAAACTGTTTCAATGCCCCATTAGCCTCTGATGTTCTCTCCCGAATTGTAAATATCTCCAGGATGATTGTCGTATGACGTACGGAAGAATTGCTTGCTTCCACCACTCTCCTCAATAACCTCAACGAGACCTGGCTTCAATTGTTCGATCGATGGGACGTGGTTGGCGAGGATACCCATTTCACCGGATTCGGCGGGGATGTTGACTTGGACGACATCTTGGGATCTGTAAACAGACTGCAGATTTATGTGTTAGCCAATCTCTTCCTATATGCCCATCTGCCAATCCATCTATCTATCCGCAGAAATCCCTCCTCCCCTCCCCATCTCCCCTCATCCCATCCCATCCCATCCAATCTCATCCAGCACCCCGTCAACCAACCATCCCCCCCCCTCCCCCTCCAACCACAAACAAACAAACAAAAATCCCAACATACCTGATGAGGCAAAGCCAAGCTCAACTTAATCTACACACACACGCCAAGTCAGCACAAGAAACTTCACAAACCCCCATCTCCATCTCCATCCTCATCCTCATCCTCATCCTCCCTCCCCCAACCAAACAAAAAAAAAAACCAGAAACGGGAATTCCCGACCTTCTCCGCAACAGCCTCAGCATACCCTCTGCGCAAAACAGGAGTTTTCAAAGCCGTAGGACGAACCCGCAGAGCGGCGCGAGCAAAACGCATAGAGTTCATGATTGATAGATGGGTCGAGTGTATCAATTGAAGACGTGACGTGGGTATTCTACGAGGGGGGTGTGATTGCGGCGGGAGCTTGCTGGTGGATGTCGGGATGCCTTTCGCTAACTTATTTTCTTTAGCTTTGATTGAGAGTCACGTGCTGGGGACTTTTTGGAAGTGCGAATTTTGGGGTGGGGATATGATGGATGGTTAGATGGATTTCTTGATTGATTCTGAGGAGCTTCTCATTATTGGAATGAGAAGAATTATTTTCGAGCTGTGATGTGTACTCACGTGCTTGTAGATCACGAGTTTTATCATCATCATCATTCCATATTCAAGTAACGTGTATCACGTGAAAAAAAATCTCATCCGCTTACTAACCAAACATCCATCCATCCATCCATCCACCAAGCAAGCAAGCAAGCAAGCCAGCCAGCACAGAACGAAATCTCCAAACACTCCCCACCCACTCCAAGCCACCAACATTTCGCACCGAACCGAAGTGCGGAAATACGGAACCACCTCACCTTCAAATATCAAGTCACTTCCACTTCACCTACCTACTAGGTATGCAGTACCTACCTAGGAGCCTAGGTACTTCGCACTCCCTCCCGGTACCCAAATCCCTTCCACTTATACACATACACTGTACAGTATACACATGCCAAAAACCACATCACCCATCCATCCATCCCTGAACATTCCACTGGTCAAAATTAATCCCTCATATACGAGGCTAGTCTCGATGCAAATAGAGTACAAATACAAATACTCCGTACAAATGCAAATTCATGAATGAATGAATGAACCATGAACCCCCCCCCCCCATCAAAAGATCCCAAAGAACAAATCAAATCAAATCACAATTCTCAAATCCAGAATATCCATCCATCCCATTCCCCCCCTCCAAAAATATAATAAATGGGGGTAGTGTAGACTGTGTAGACTGTGTAGTTCCCCGTTAATAACCCGATCGGATGAATCATGAAGCATGAAGCACCCCGGAGGAGGGAATGGAATGTGTAGATCTTTGTGGAATCTGGATGGATCATGGATGAGAGCACCGGTGGAGGTATCTTTACAAATTACAGTGTACTGTACAATACATCTTTACTGAGTATTACATCTTACACATTACATATTATATACATATTACATTACAATACAGAACACTATACGAGTACAATATTACTTTTCCCACCGTATTAAAATTTATTTTTGCAATTTGGATTAATATTATATCTATTATATAATACAGTACAATACAGCTCAGAGTAAACTTGAATCAAGATGATATGATGAAATCCATACCTCCCTCCAGCTCCCTCCCTCTGAAATATGATAGACAGGACAGGACAGGATCATTGATTGATTGATTGATTGATTGATTCACTCGCGACGATTTTCCACCCACATCTACACATACATACCGAGATACCTACCTATCGAGATGCCTAAGCAAAACCAGCCTCGAGCCAGCCAAGCTTCTCAGCGGGTGTGGCACGACATAAGATTTTTATGCCAACCTTGGAATGCACTGCCCATGCCCATGCCCACCGTTGAATCAATCAATCACCAAGGCATTTAATTTACAGTACGGAGTACAATCTTGATATTTCGTCCCATGAATCGGTTTCACCCAGGCCGCCCCCAAGAGAAGAGTCCGAAACTGAAACTCAATTGATTCGAAAGATCGAAAGAAAGAAAGAAAGAAAGAAAGAAAGAAAGAAAGAAAGATTCGAAAGAAAGAAAGAAAAGAAACAGTTTCATCACAGCGAAATTTTCATTTTCATTTTCATTTTCATTTACCGACTACCTACCTACCTAGGTACTCCGTCCTTGAGAGACATAAAACGGATCATCACAGGATATTAAATTACGAACATGAAGATCGTATCGCCATAGATGTTGTAATTTTGCTGGAAGGAGGCATTGCACGGTTTGTCAGATGAGCATGGCACACCCTCTCACTGCGTTTTGAAAGGCATTTTGATGGATGGTGATTCAGATGCGATCGTGATGGGACCTATTTTTGGCCTTGTGTTTGCAGGATTCGTAGGGCGGTGAATTTTGGGTTGTTAGGTATGAGATGAGATCTAAGTTCTAACCCCTAAAAATGCAGAGGCAAGTCAAGCGAAAGGATGTGAAGGGGTACGGAGGCAGCGGTGTACTCCGGACGTTCTCTGTATGTATGTAGGTAGGTATGTACTGTATGTAGGTATGTATAATTTTGGGTCAGATGTCGATGCTGATGATGAACCGGTGGATGTTTGGGCACAATTGGTAGAAACACAAGTGAGAAGTATGATGAACTGTCAGATGATCTTAGAAGGTGTACAGTAAGAGCCTACTTACTCAGCTTCCTTCTTTTTCTTCAGTTTCCAGATATCAAATTTTCCTCACTTGATCGCCACTCAAGAGGTGAGCCAGCACACTGCACAAACGCCCAAGATGTTTGATCAATGTTATGCCAACACCCAATGCCGATTTTTCCAGCGGTGAGAAGATAATAGATGAAGTAATATCATCGTGTATGTAGGGAGAGGTTGCACAGATAGCTTTTGGCACCCTCGCACCCTATCCAGGCTATCCTCCTATCCTACTGTATGCTTAAACTTCCCGGAAGCGAACAGTGAACACGGATCAAAAAGCTGTTTGCTTGTCAATGCAGGGTAGGCTCACCAGCTATCGTTCGAGTATTACATCTTCCCTCCCTTTCATCCAATTGTTCTTTGGCTTTATGAATGGAAGATGTAGAAATCCGACACGTTTCTGTGCTTCAAAGCCTTCGCTCTTTCAGGAGGGGTAAACCCTTTCGTCGAATGTGGGGTAATTTATGGAAATCCAGCGGTCAAATCCTAGTTGCAACTTACATGACAGGATTCTCATTGGTTCATTGTCCTCATCCGATTGAGGTATTACTCCGGCACACGATTGATACTTTGATTACTTACCAGGTATGCCATTGGTATACGGAAACGAAAATGTCGTCAGTGTGAGGACCGTTCCAATCCCTTTGATCCCAATAAACCTGACGGTAAGGTGGGATTTTTGCCAGGTGAAGGTATCACGAGCGCATCTATCTGATCGGATCCAGGATTCCATAAATGACAAAAGATGACTGTGTGTGACATGACTTGCCTTGCGCGATGCAAGATATACTTTTTGCCCGCACGTTTCTGGTAGACCCTTCGTACCTCAATGCGAAATGACGAGCACTTTGAAACGATTTCCAAGTAAAAGTGCAAGCAAGTTTGGTAAACCACCGAGTGCTAGTGCATCATCACTGATCAGATGAAGAATCCGAATCCACAACCCCACGTTCGCAAAAGAAGTCGAGGAGAGCATGTTGGATGGAGTAGGAGGTTGGTAGGCGTGGTAGGTCGCGTTTCACACGAAAGCAAAGAGCATGGTCCCCGCAAGGACACATGGATGGATGGATACCTGCACTGCAGCGAGAGGTCAGTTTGGAGAGTGATTAGACGGAGTTCTGCAGGTAAGGTGTGACTTTTGCATGCGCGCCAAGGGGTGCACGAATCCACGATGGTGGCTTTTAGTCTTATTATTTCGATTTTTGCCGCGGTTGGCTGGTGTAATTTGATGATATGATAAGTTTATATGATATCTCACGATAGATTACATATCTGCAATTGGTAAGCTGTGATTTAAAATATTAGAGCTATGGCGGGAAGAATCAATTGTATGATTTGGGGGTAGACACTAACAAGATTGTGAACGTGATTGTGAATTGAAAGCAAGCGTAGATAGATAGATGCACGCGGACCGAAGGGCAAGATAAGAATCACAGGATGGATGCAAATGAGTGATGGATTGATGAGTAAGCTGTCATTTCCAGTCCTTTCAAGTCATGGGAATGGGAATGGGAACGAGGAATAATAAGTTTGAATGTGACACCCAGATCCTAATCAGAGAGCAAAGAAAAGGAGAGGCAGAATTTGATTGAACACTTGTTTATGTCATATACTCGTATATGTTGTTATGTTATGTTGTTATGTGATGACTTGAAGTACTCCGTAAACAAAGAAAAATTATTCATCGGATAGAGCGATTTGGGGAAGACGAGAATTGAAGATGGATCCAATAATTATAAAAGTGGTAGACGGAACTGACTGGTGGTAAGTTGTAACGAACGAGCCAAATCAACGGAATCGTCAAATTATATTATCGTGGAATTCTTCAAGGGGGGGGATTGGATTGGTTGACGAAAATCATTTCAATCTCTCCGAATTCAGGCCGTCCCTAATGAAAAATGCCCCCTCCAAGAGCGGGTGAGAATTCATTCTCATTTCCATTTTATTGCTTGCTGGACATTTTCATTTGTTGATTGAATTATCGATTCATTGATTTATTGGTTTATTCTTTTGTTCTCTTGATTCTTTTCTGGGATTTAGTTACATGAATGTAGGTACATCTTTCCTGTATCCTGTCGGACGGTTGGATCAACGGGCGTGCAGTAAGATGGGCTTTTGCTTGGCTGATACCTCACTATCACAAGTTATTGAAAACCTTAGGTCGTCACGTAAACTCTAGGGGTGAGAATACGACGAGTTTTGATGATTTTGCTCGGGAATGTTTGAGATCCTTTACCCGTTTGCTCGTGAAGCGGTTGGCATTTTTACTGCCTTGAGCGGGAAAATGTATATCAATCCATTAGAGGCATGGCATTCACAATCAAGCAAGCAAGCCCGAGGCATGGCATGTCAGCAAGCTGGAAGGACTACTGTACGGAGGAGTAGGTAATATAGTAATTTGTACCTAGTAATACAATACGTACATACGAAGTACTACGGGTAACGGAGTCGATGCTCTAATTCCATGGGCTGACTGGATGGAAGATATTATGAACAGATCCACTTTTTCGATTTGAACAACAACAACAACCGCTGCTGAACTGCACCACCAAAATCGACGATGGGAAGTTAGATGGATGTAAGGTTGTTAAAGATAGAAGGAGGAAGGATACAGAACGCGGGATCTTTCTTTGGGGGAGGGGAAGGGGGGAGAATATGATAGATATGCAGCTGTCATTGGTATTTATGATATGATGTGATATGATAGCAAGTACCTAGGTAGGTCCAGAGTACAGAGTACAGAGTACATATATATAGTACATCGCACATAGGATAGATACAACACAATGCGTGGCATGGTATGAGTGAGTGAGTGAGTGAGTGAGTGTACTGTGCTGTACCATACTGTACCGTATTGTAAACGATATGTGTATATATGTATGTATCTACATGTGTAAATTTGCATGTACGGAGTATGTGTCCACCAGTCTATGTATTCTTCAAGACACGTTCTCCGATATTGACAGTCCCGAGGTATCACTCAGGAAATCCTAGATCTTCGATGGAAGAAGAATGGAAGGACGAGAGAATGGCGCGTATGATAATAAAGTTCCAGTCATGGACCCATGGTCAAAGTGATAGTTTATCGATCTGAACCATGGAAGTTCCAGACTCATCCGATTTCATCTCATACAGGTGCACGCTGAACTCTGTATGCCTTGAGACACTTTGACCCCTTCGACAACGACATCTCCTTTTTCGATGTTGAATGGATAGCGGTACTGGGACTGGGACTAGGACTGGTATAGGGAGGACAGATGTGATGATGATATAATTTGAATGGGTTACCTACTCTATAATACTCTATCCTCTGGACGATGGACGGACAAGCTTTTCCATAGTCGATAGCCACCACGTTAAATGCATGGCCTCCTAAGAACTACCGAAGCAGGGCAAGTCAAGTTAGATCAAGGGCAAGATCAAGAGCAGAGGAGAAAAGAGTAAATTTAAAGCGAGCGAGTTATAGACCAGTTCTACTGTATTCACCACTCATTCACAATCAAGAGTAAGAACCCCCACTCAACAAATTATTAGTACAAAAGATTGAAGTTACAAGCCGCAAGCCGTAACCCGTAACCCGCCAACGGTAAATGTAGCTGTGCTAGTTAAGTATGATAATAACAATAATACTAGGGATTACCCCCAAAACCCAAAGATCAACCCACTCATTCTCCGAATCTCGACTCGTTTTTCTTTGAAAGAGAAGAAAGAAAGAGAAGAAAGAAAGGAAAGAAAAAAAAGAAAAAAGGAAAACCGCTATTCAATGCGCTAATCCATTCCAGATCAGATTATATCTCAATTTATACTTTATTTATTCAGTCATGATATTATAATCCTCATCTAGTATTTCCTTAGTATTTTCTTGTTCTTCATTACTCTTTAACTCTCTTTCTCTCTTACTCTCCTCGTCTTTCAATCCACACCTCTCTCTCTCTCTCTCTCTCTCTCTCTCTCTCTCTCTCGTGATTTACCAGGTACTCTCCGTATACATACCTAGGGACCTCCAAATCTACTTTATTCCTATATTATCTCTTATAATCCACTAATAAAACCCACTCACTCACTCACCCACCATCATCCACCCATCCACCCACCACTCATCCACTACTTCGCACGTCCTATCTTTTTTCATCCATTTGCATATTTGCACATTCACACATTCACACCTTCACACATACATATTCGCATAATCACCAGCCAACAAGAATCTCCCTCTCTTCTCTCTTATTAAGACACTCCCAGGACAAAGAAGAGCCTCTCATGATATCAAGTCTCATGTTCTTGATTCTCATTTCTTGATTCTCATTTCTTGACTCTCATTTCTTGATTGACCTTGAATACATACTTCTTTGGGGAAATCGAGGTAGTGGCAAAACAACACCAAACCCGAGACAAAAATAAGGCTGTGTTTGTTTTCTTATCCACATCAAGGAACGTTACTCAGTCTTATTCATCTTTTATCATTGGATTATTTTGATTATTTCATTACACGGCCTAAAATCAAATACACGGATTAAAATCAAGTACACGGATTAAAATCAAATCAAATAAAAAAACATTTGATTCAATTTGTGTGAAAGACCAACCCTGAAAAAGTTGATCTTTCAGCCCTTATTTGAACGTCATTTTATAATACCACAGCCTTCCCCCCAATAAATCTCCAACAATTTCAAAAGAACAATCAACCTTCACCTCCTTCACCTCTTTCACCTCTTTCCATCCTTGGTTACTTGGTCCTTGATACTTTGATACCTTGTGTCTTCCATATCCACCAAAGCAGAGGTCTGTTTACGAACCATCGATCAAAATATTTTAGGTGGAAACCAACTCCATCCCCATATTACTACTACCACCACCTCCACCACCACCACCACTCTCTTCTCTTCCACCAACAAAAACAACAACAACAAAAATCAATCCTTCCTTCCGTCGAGGAAGAGAAGACACGTCGTTGCTTGCCTTTCCTTTTATTGCTTTCGTCGCAGTAACCTGGAATAACAACTGGATTTGAATACAATGTTTTTTCCACAATTATAGCAATACGGTCCCTCAGGGACGCTTTAATTCAACGGTCCTCCTTGACCTTT